CCCCAGGGGAGATTGTTGCTAATGCGGGCTTGTCTGCACGGGCCTTGTGGTCTGTGCATGAGTAGCTGAGGGCCCCCAGCCCAAGCCCAGCCCAGCTTCATGCTCCTCAGCCTGACTTGGTGCTGGCTTGCATTTTAGAAAATTGCAATTTTAGAAAATTTCAGACATTCATGAAAAAAAAAAAATCTCATCTTCCCACCGGGTTTCTTTGCTGCAGATTTACTGCTGTAAATCTTAGAGGTGTCCTACAACCCAAGCCCCAGGGCAGCGCTTGCATAATCTAGGACATCTCTCCACATTGTGACTTGATTCAGGTTTGGTGATGCTACTGTGATAGTTCATATTTCCTCCGGACCTGTCACCAGGTCTTTTAGAGAGAGCTCCCAACTGCAGTGTTCTTTTTGGACATTTTCAGACATGCTGAAGGGCAGATGTGTGAGAACCTTGTTTTCTAGTGTCAGCATAATTTCCATCCCACTGATAAAAGAAAATAAAGCTAAAAATTGCTTTATATGTCAGGGTATAAATGCTGTTGCTGCTGTGCTGTTATTAATATTAATAATGCTGCTCATTGGGTGCTGTGTCATTCAAGTCATTTATCTAAGTTACGTGTGATCATCAAAACCCTTGTGAATAGAGTGTTTTTGGTCACATATATTGTCTCATTTGATCACCCATCTCTTTTTTACTTCTCTTGTTGTGAGATAGAATGCACATCCAGAATATCAGATGTACACACGAGTGTGTGGGTGATGAATAACTGTGATGTGAACACTCATGTCCCACTGCCCAGAGATGGACCATTGCCTGTCCTCAGACCTCCTTCATGGGCCCACCCCCTTCTCTACCCAAGGCGTGACTGTTAACCTGAGAATTACTTTCTGGTTTTCTTAGTGGTTCTACCATTGCCTATGCAGACTAATTTAGCAACATTGCATGCTTTTGAACTTTATATTATCCATATGTCTGGATATGGGTATGCATCTATTTATGGATTTATATATATATATGTATTTAAATATATATAAGGGTTTCCCTGGTGGCTCATATGATAAAGAATCTGCCTGCAGTGCCGGAGCGGAGAAGGCAATGTCACCCCACTCCAGTACTCTTGCCTGGAAAATCCCATGGACGGAGGAGCCTGGTAGGCTGCAGTCCATGGGGTCGCGAAGAGTTGGACACGACTAAGCGACTTAGTTCACTTTTCACTTTCATGCATTGGAGAAGGAAATGGCAACCCCCTCCAGTGTTCTTGCCTGGAGAATCCCAGGGACAGAGGAGTCTGGTGGGCTGCCGTCTATGGGGTCGCACAGAGTCGGACACGACTGAAGCGACTTAGCAGCAGCAGCAGCAGCAATGCCGAAGACCTGGGTTTGATCCCTGAGTTGGGAAGATCCCTTGGAGGAGGTCACGGCAACCCACTCCAGTATTCTTGCCTGGAGAATCCCCTAGACAGAGGAGCCTGGTGGGCTACAGTCCATGGGGTCGGAGAGTTAGACACAACTAAGTGACTGAGCACACACACATATATATGTAAATCCACATATAGATATATATCCATATCTAGATATATGGATTTATATATGGAATTTATTTTATTCTTTGTTCTGAACTTGGCTTCTTTACTGAATGGTATGTTGGTGAGACTGCATGTCATCCTCCTCCATCCATTTTTTCTTTTTAAACTGATGGTTCTATGATCTTTTTCTTCTTTTAAACATTATTTATTTATTTGGCTGCACTGGGGTCTTAGCTGTGGCATGCAGTATCTGACCAGGAATCAAACCCAAGCTCCCTGCATCGGGAGCACTGCGCTTGGCCACTAGACCACCAGGAAGTCCCCGTCTGTACTCCCCGGTGTGAAATAGCAGGTACTGTGCAGCGCTTGCGGGCACGTTCACCCCCCGGGTGTGGGGGACGGTGGGGCTCTCTCTGTGGCATCTCTGTCACCAGCTTGGCTGCTGCGCGCCGTCTGCGCAGGTGTCCACGAGAACCCCCGGGGTGGACACACCTGGTGGGCACTTGGCAGGGCCGTAGGCGCGTCTTCAGCTTCACAAGGTGAAGCCCAACCACTTCCCACAGTGGCTGTGCCAGGTTATGCCAGCAGCGGGGTGCCCGGCCCGGAGCCTCTGCTGTTCTGTGTCCAGGGGGACGTGCAGGATGGCCAGCCTGCTGGGCCTACGCCGGCCTCTCCATGTGGCTTTATTTTCATGTTCATGATGGTTAATGGAATTGAGCCCTTTTCCATAAATTTTTCTGGCCATTTGGATTTATTTCTCTTTCCTTTTTTTTTTAAAAATACTGTTCAAATATTTCCTCATGTTTTTCTATTGAGTGGTTTTGCTTTCTTGTTTGTTTTCTGGAATCCTTCATGTATCTGGGGTGGGGATCACACTTTTTGGGTTACATGTTATAAATATAGTCTCATGCTGTGGCTCCCCATCCCTCCCCCCATCTCTTTTAAAGTTGTTACATTTAATGTTACTTTAAGAAACATTTCATCCAGAGTTTTAATTTTAGTTGTGGTTTTTCTGTTCCACTGTCTCATTTTAGGCCTCTAGATCTTGTTTTCACCATGGCAGCAGCTGGATGCATGGTTCCTTGCCTCAGTCTTGTTCCTTTCAAATAACCCGCCCTCCATTCATTTCCAGAATGAAAACTCTGAAATTGGCGCGTCACCCCCTGCCTGATACCCACCGGGAATGCTGTTCCGAGTCAGTTTCCTAACACAGCACGTCCCCCTGTGACCTGGCCGCCTTTCACCCTCTTCCCAGCCCCACCCAGCCCCACCTTGTCGCAGCCCTCCTGGAAGGGCCTGTGTTCCACCCGGCTTACCTTGGCAGTCCTCGTTTGTCCAAGTTGATGGTCAGACTTGGGCTGCCTTATGTTCGGGAAATGCACGCAAACCAAACCATGCCCCTCCCAGGGAAGATAGGTGGGAAGTCAGATCATCTCTTCATTGCTGGCTGGACCAGGGGCCCAAAATCTAGCGCAGACAAGTGGTAGGGCTGGGAGATGGTGAAGCTTTGGGCAAATTCCTTAACCCTTTTGTGTTTCAGTTTTTCTTAATCTGTGAAATAGGAATAGCAGTTGTACCTACTGTAGGAGGTTGTGAGATTTGCAGGAATTAATCCATGCAAGACTTAGAACTCTTTGGCATATGGTAGCTATCGGTAAAGGCGAGCTAAAATAGTCATAAATCACGGTAGGTTACGCTACTTCACAAATGCACTGTAACACCATGTTGTAGTTTGGCATATGGTAGCTATCGGTAAAGGCGAGCTAAAATAGTCATAAATCACGGTAGGTTACGCTACGTCACAAATGCACTGTAACACCATGTTGTAGGCATGACGGCAGCTTCCTGCCTCGTTTTTGATCCACTTTCTTTTTTGTCGTTTTGTCTCACATGCACTATAGGACTACAGCCTGCATATATTTTCCTCATAACTCTTAGCTGGATGCTGGCCTGAAAGCTCTCAATAAATAACTTTCCTTTGAGATATAGTGTCATTTGCTATCTGCAAGTATCTGACTTAGGAAACAAGTGTTGTGATTTAGTTTGCCTAGATAGCATTTAATCTTTGCAGTTGATATCTAAGTCCAAAAACTCGTGTGCATTCAGGGAATCAGAAGTCTCTCATTTGTCACCGTGTCCCCAGGTGAGAACAAGGTCTGACTCATAGCAGGATGTCAGTAAATACAATATATGCTTCATAAATGGAATCCCAAGTGGTGCCCTGTTCATGATGCCATCAGACCCTATGCCTGGCAGTGGGTATGGAGCATTGCCCACGCTCCACTTTGCCTCCGTCTCCTGCCCTGCAGTGACTGCCCCAGCAGAAGTCCTTGCTGAAATGTGGCAACGTCCCACAAGTTCAAGATTGTTATGCGTGAAAAGCCCAGATGCGGCTCAGCCACATTGTTTAGGGAGAGAGGGTCCCAAGAAGATGTTAGGTAGTGATTGAATTCCTGTAAAAAGTGATGATGGTACCAGGGAATGGAATAGATGGAAAGGTTTGTACTCCTAAACCTTGGAGCCGTTCAGTAGTGCAGGGGGCCAGGGGGCTGACCTCCATGCCTGTAACAAAGGCTGAGATTACAGACATCAGAGATGAAAGAAGGCTGTCTCGTCACGGAGGGAGGTTTGGTCACAGCCAGCCTTTGGAAGCTTCCCTTCTGGCTTTAAGAATTGAAGATTTTCATAGAAATCAGTAGCTCAGAAACTTGAGTTCTCTTTTGGACTCACCTGCCCATTTTTTGACCTATCTACTCAAACGTTTTGGGAGTTCTTTTCATTAGCAATTCCACCAAGGAGCAGGCGTGGGGAAATACATGGAGTTGAAACTCTTTATGAGGCAGTTTATCTGCTTTGCTCTAAGAAGGATGGAATTGGCTCTCAAACCTGAAGTTAGGTTCATAGGACAATTTCTCATTTTAATTGTCCCTCTTGCCTCTGTGTCCACTGACCACCCAGCACTGGCAGGAGAGCATTTTTTTGGTTGTTCTTTTTGATTTCTGTGCAAATGCTAATGTTCCAAAAATAATTTCATAGAACTCGCTTATACGGAGAAAGGCAAGTACGTCAGAATTAATGGTAAGGGGAGCTACTTGAATAGCATTCACTTAAAAAAAAAAAGTGATAGATTCCTGTGTTGAATTTTTTGTGATTTTCTTCTTGAACAAGAAATATAAACTCTGGGGTGAACAACAGAGAACGATATGAAAGCAGCCTCGTTTAGCAGAGTCACCTCCTGCTCTGGGGACTCCTGCCCAATCACTTGGGGGGTTCCCTGCAGAGGCAGGACTCAGCCACCCCAGGTTTGTGCCTTTTCCTGGAGCATTTCCCGAGGCACGGTCTGCTCCTTGCAGGCCTTCCAGGAAGTGCCTGCTCCATGGATGGGGGAGTCGGGGTGGAGGGCGGGGGGGCCCCTTCCTTCCCCTGGAGGCTGATGGCACAGGGGCTGGCCTGGCCCTAACCCTCCTGCTTGTCCCCCCAGCCTTTCCGCTGCGCCCACTGCCATTACTCATGCAACATCTCGGGCTCCCTGAAGCGGCACTACAACCGGAAGCACCCCAACGAGGAGTACAGCAACGTGGGCACCGGGGAGCTGGCGGCCGACGCGCTCATCCAGCAAGGTAGGCGAGCGGCTGCGCCCTTGTGCCCGGCCGAGCCCCCCAGGCAGCTCTGCGGCCTCCCTCAGCACAGCGCGCGCATTCCTGGTCGTCCCCGTTCGCTTCCTTCTCTTCCCAGTGAGCGTCAGTGTTACTTGTGGCCAGGGCCATATTACAGCAACCTTAATGGAAACCTTAGGGGTTCCCCGGTGGCTCAGATGGTAAAGAATCTGCCTGCAGTATGGGAGACCTGGTTTCAATCCCTGGGTCAGGAAGATCCCCTGGAGAAGGGAATTGCAACCCACTCCAATGTTCTTGCCTGGAGAATCCCATGGACAGAGGAGCCTGGCAGGCTATAGTCCACGGGATCACAGAGTTGGACACAGCTGAGCAACTAACACTTTCACTTTTGATGGAAATCTTAAACGAAAAAAGTGATGCATTTTACCACCCTTCCCATAATGTTCATTTATCGGTACAGTCATCCCTTGTTATCAGCAGGGGATCAGTTCCAGGACCCTCATGGATCCCACCGTCTGAGGATGCTCAAGTTGCTTGTGTAAAATGGCAGAGAACAGTTGGTGTCTGCATTTCCAGCCCCACATAAGATGCGGAACCTGGGGGTTCGAAGGGTCAACTGTGTGGCCTTTTGTCCTTAGTCCATGCACACTTTTTGCACAATGGAAGTTCGTGGCTGACTTTCTTTACTTAACGTTGATTAACACGCACAGTTTGTTTTCCTTTGCTGTGCCGTCTTCCTACTTCAACTTCTCAGGGCTTTTGCGGTACAACATTGAAGGGGAACACCCCACTTTATTTATTTCAAATGTTTATTTACTTTGCTTTTTTGGCTGCGCTGTGTCTCTGTTGCAGCACACAGGCTCAGGAGTTGGGCACATGGGCTTAGTTGCCCTGAGTCATGTGGGATCTTAGTTTCCCTGATCAGGGATGAAACCCCTGTCCCCTCCATTGGAAGGTAGATTGTTAACCACCAGACCACTAGGAAAGTCCCACCCTACTTTATATTTAACCATACTCCTGTTGTTGAACATTGTAGGGTTTCTAGATTTTTCTTCTATTGCAATTATAAACAGCACTATATTAAGCACATTTATGGGTGGGTTCTTAATCTAAAAATATTTGAGTGCTCAGATTACATGATCCTCCTGAAAAGAAGAAATGATTTAGAACATTTAAAGAGAATGAATGAAAACTCTAATATCTTTGAAAAGTTTGGGGGTTTTTCAAAACATGGTCACATTTCCATTTGCGAGGGTTTAGCTCACGTGCTGTTGCTACATAGAAATGCTGTTGTATTCATATCTTTGCTCCGGTAATTCAGCTGAAAAATGATTGCAGTGTGCAGTGCATCAGTGGTTGCTCTTTCCTGGATCCTGTGACTCTTTGAAGCTGAAGACCCATTTTAGAAACCTCCCACCCTCCCCCACCATCCCTGGTGCATGAAGCTCCACTTGCTGTAACCACCATGAAAGGCGTCCTAATGTAAAACAAATGAATTGACTGTATCCTTTCAGCACTTCCAGTGACAGGGCTTATGTACGGAAATAGATGAGCAGCAGAAAACTCAGATAATTTTAAGTCATCCATCTGGGATAATGGGGGCATGTGCATAGTGTTGGCATTAAAGGCAGTTTCTAGGAGTTGGAGGGCAGGCTGGAGTGTTGCCATTCGGGCAAGTTACCCACCCTCCACTGGTGGGCCCGAACCTCGCCTGGAGCTCACAGCCGCTATCACACAGGATCACAGGAGGATGAAACAAGAACACTTGGGTGTCTGGCACTTAGTACATTTGCATTCCTTTTTTTTTTTTTCTTTTCTGAAAATATGCTAAGGCTTCTAGAGCCGGTGTATCATTTTTGAGGACCCCGCTGTCCAGGAATCACAGAAGAGAGGGTGGATTGCCTTCAGTTCAGTCACTCAGTCATGTCCGACTCTTTTTGACCCCATGGACTGTAGCACGCCAGGCTTCCGTGTTCATCACCAACTCCCAAAGCTTACTCAAACCATGTCCATTGAGTCGGTGATGCTATCCAGCCATCTCATCCTCTGTCCTCCCCTTCTCCTAGGTTGCCTTCAAGTCACAGTAAATAATTGGAGTACAGGATTCATTTCAACATCGTTCACACTCTTAGGCTGGATTGGCGGGAAATAGATGTTTACTTGGTCATTGGGACAGGTGTGGGGATCTGATTGATGCCTCTGTCATAGTTCCCTGCTTTCAGACTTTCATTACTACCTTGCACAAAATGTGCTGAGGTCAAGTTGCTTCATGCCCTACATTTTCTTCATGCCCCAAGTTAACTTTCTAACTTGCTCTATAATCAGTTGGCATTCCCTGGGTTTTCTAACCTTTGCAGGGCTATTTTTGGCCTTCATGTGTGTATTTATTTATTTTTGCTATGCTTCCATCAAGAGACTCACATGGAAGGAAGCAATGGGATGTGTTTTGGCTCATAGGAGACAGCATGCCTCTGTGTCTTGGCAGGAGAACTGTCTCTGAAATCCGAGAGCTGGTTAAGGGTTAGTGCAGCTCAGAGCCCTCAAGAACACACAGCTCTCGCTGTCCTTGCATCTGAGGGAGAGAAGGAGAGAGGGAGAAGATGGGGCTGAATAAATAGGACTATAATGCTGAGTCATTTGGGATCACTCACTGGGACTTTTCTCATTTTCTTTTGATTAATTTCATGTAATTCTCCCCATCCTTGTTTGGTTTTATTTTCCTCTTCTACCAACCCCTCAAAAATTATTTTCCTGGGACTTTATAATTTCTTCTTTTGAGATAGAGGAATAGGTCTTAAAATGACATAATAAAAAACCACACATATACCTATGACCGATGCATATTGATGTATGGAAGAAACATATTGTAAAATAATTATCCTCTGAATAAGTAAATTAAAAAGTATTTCTAAAATTAAAAAAAATGTAAAAAATCATAAATGTAGTTTTCTCAAAATGATGTTGCAGTCTCCTGAAACCAAGTGCAGGGACTCCTTGTCCATCCGCTGTGTTGAAATAGTGATACACGGGAGCCATCGATTGCTGAGAAGGATGGTTCTGCCCCAGGCTCAGGGGTTTGCAGAGGGGGTCCGAGCACTTTTGTAGAGGAGGCGGGGAGAGGACCTAAAAGGCTGAGGTTTCCGCTTCGGGCAGGTTTCTCATGGAAGGCACTGTGGTGTTTTCCCTGCAGTTGGGTCCTTTTCCACGAACCCTGGAGTGGAGGCTGCTGGGGCATCTGCCCGTCGTGTTTTAGAAATGTTTACCAGCTGGCTTTCCCAGGGCGGGGGTCAGGGTGCTGATTTGTAGCATTTTTCAGTTTCTGTGCTGTGAATATTTCCACCAGGGCCAGTTTCAAGCTTCCCATGTGATATCGCTGAGTTGAGCAGGGATGTGCCCAGACAGCTGCTAAGCTGGTTCCCACAGGCTCCAGCACACGCCTGGTCCTGGGGGCATAGGCTGCGTGCCAGCTGGGCCTCAGCCAGAGGCACTCGGACTCCAGTGCTTTCTTGGCAGTTAGACTTGTCCTGAGCGCTGTGTGAACGCTTTATCCCATGCTTGCATGTTACCTACTTCTGATGTTTTGAAAGTGGATCAATCTCTTATTTATTACTCTCTGCCAGTCACTTGTTCATTAATACGGATTTGAGGCATTTTCCCACAAAATATGCATTTTCCTTTTGTATTGCTTCAGTGGGCCTCCCTCTTTCCTCCTCTTAAAAAGCCCAATGAAGCCAGCTCGAGAGCTGATTCACTAAAACCAGAGGTTGTGAGAGGCATCAGATGCTTGGTGCTCAGCGTCACAAACTCTCAAGCTCGTTCCCGGAGCTCATGGCCTGGTAAGGATGGGCTGGTCCTTTTCCGGGGACCACACGGCCCTCCTTCAAGGCGCCCCAGGATTTTGGCACAAGTTTAGGGTTGGGAGCACAGCCCTGGAGCCCGTCTGTGATCACTGTGGCCCCTGGACCAGTTACTTAGCTTCTCCGAGCATCAGTTTGCAAAGATGAGATCTTATTCTCGAAGATCCCAGACCGTGCCTGACGTGTCACAAGTGCCTGATAAATGGCTCACATTCCTTATCGTGTCTATTCCATTGCCTTCTTCACAGGTTATCTTAAGCTCATCGTGTTCCCCACACTGTGCGAGGCACTGGGCTGTGGTGGCATTTGTTGTCATTCTGGGTTGGGGATGAAGCCTGGGCAGCTCTTCCATGTTCTGATCTTCTAACAGAAAGTATGCGCTCCTTTTAACAGGCCCCATGTTGCTATAGGAGAAGAGTTCACTGCTTCTCTCCGGTGGTGAACCTTATCTCAGGTCCCTTGTTTTAAGGAGTCATTGGGCAGGGGGGTAGGTAAATGAGATAAGAAAAGATATGAGGAAGAAGGCCAGAGAAGGCTTAGTTTGTGGCATCTGCTGAAATCTTTGTGTTGTTTTGAACTGTTATGTTAAGAGTGTAAACGTGTATATCCATACCTTTGATATACATTCATGTCTTAGTTTTTTCACACCATATTCAGGGAAAGTAGTATAGAAAAAAATCCAGAAACTGTCAGCCAACCCAGGGATCGAACCCAGATCTCCCACATTGCAGGTGGATTCTTTACCAGCTGAGCCACAAGGGAAGCCCAAGAATACTGGAGTGGGTAGCCTATCACTTCTCTAGGGAATCTTCCCGACCCAGGAATCGAACTGGGGTCTCCTGCTTTGCAGGCGGATTCTTTACCAACTGAGCTATCAGGGAAGCCCTTCCACACCAGATTCAGGGAAAATTGTATAGAAAAAATCCAGAAACGGTCAGCTAACCTAGAGTTCTTTATTTGATTTTTGGACATTTTTATTTTAAAATTGTTTTTATTAGGGCTCAGATCCCATACATCACTGGAAGATGCTTCCAGTGATGTGATGCTGTGCTGTTGGTCGTTATTTTCTATGTTGCCTTATCTCTCATGAGGTTGGCATCATCTTTCCCATTTTAAAATGAGGAGGTGCAGAGAAGAAAAAGGACTGGATCCCAGCTACGCAGTGTCCTGGTCATCATGCCAGACCCAGGTCCTGATTCAGAATCTGGCTTCTCACCACGGGTGGGCTGTGTCCCCTAACGTGAGTCTCAACTCTGCACTTGTTGAGGAGGAGGAAGAAGAGGAGATGTGGTCCTGCTGGGGATTGGTTTGCATTTGCTGGTGGTCACAGGAGATCACACAAGGATGTGTTGAAAGGTTACACATGTGGGAGCAGTCTGTTTTGTCTTACTTCTTTGCCTTCAGGTCTGACGGCTAACTTGACCCAAGGCTGACTCTGGGACCTCTCTCTCTCTTTCCAGCCCTTCCCTGGTTGTCCAGAGGATCTCAGATCACCAAGATTTTGAGAAGTGTGTGGGAGGACCAGAAGGGATGAGGGAGACCTTGGTTAAGCTCTGACTCAGAGTCAAATGCACTTTGTTTTCCCTCTGCAGTATTTCCCCAAGTCCGACTTTGTGTTTCACATGTTAATAAAATAAAAGTCCTCTGTGTCCACTTTCTGTGGATCATTAAGCTGCCTTTGGTCCAGTCACCCTTGAGCGTCTGTATTAGGTTCTTATTGCTGCTGTAACAAATGGCCACACTGTTGGTGGTGGTTTAAGACAGCACAGATTTATTATCTTGCCATTCTGAAGGTAAGGAGCCCAAGCTGGTCTCACAGGCTCAAGTCAGGTTCCCAGATATTCCTTCTGGAGTCTCAAGAGCAGGATGCCTTCTTTTCCCAGCTTCTGGAGGCTGTCTGCAGTCCTTGGCTCTGCCCCTCCTCCATCTCCAAAGCCGGCAGCCTTTCTTTGTCAGGTGACGGCGCTGGGGTCTGCTCTCCTGCCCGCTCTGAGAAGGATCCTTGTGATAAAATTGGGCCCGCCCAGATGGTGCAGGATAATCGCCCCATCTCCAGCCCCTTACCTGATGCTTACCTCTGAGATACTTTCCGCCACCTGAGGTTTCATTTTCACATGTTCCAGGGTTTAGGACATGTTCATGTCCTAAATGAATATGTCCTCCCTCTCTGGGGAACCTGTTATTCTGCTGGCCCCACACTGTCTTCTTCTTTTTTTTTTTTTGCTTTTTATTTTGTATTTGGGTACAGCTGATTAACAATGTTGTGGTAGTTTCAGTTGGACAGCGAAGGGACTCGGCCATCCACATGTGTGTATCTGTCTTCCCCTAAACTCCCCTCCCATCCGGGCTGCCACATGACGCTGAGCAGAGGTCCCTGTGCTGTTATTATATAGTTGGCCCTGTTGGCTAGCCATTTAAAATGTAGCCGTGTGTCCATGGTCATCCCGACTCCCTAACGGCCCCTTCCCCTTGGCCACCATAAGTTTCTTTTCTGAGTCTATGAGTCTGTTTCTGTTTTGTAAGTTCATTTGCATCATTTCCTTTTAGATTCCACATATAAGGGATGTCATATGATATTTCTCCTTCTCTGACTTAATACACTGCCTTTTATAAGGATATAAGCTTTAGCATTTTTGCCTTCATAGGAAAAAAAGAACCCAAAAAAACAAGACCCAAGCATTCAAGGAAGTGGTTCTGAGTCACGTGAGCCAAGTGACAAATGCAGATCTCCTGACTGTCCAACCGAGTGTCTATGCCATTCTGGGAGTTATATTATTGAAAATGAAATTGAATTTTCAATAACGTCAGCCACTGCAAAGGAGTGAGAATAGTTTAACACTTGAAATTCCTCCAGAATAGATTGAATTCCAAAAAGAACAAAAGATGCCATGATGGAGTTTTCAAATTGCTCCTGAAATTCTGTCCTTTGGCTTGGTTCGTCTTTCCTTGTGAGGAAGATTTCAACTTGCGGGGAGGGGGGGTTGTGGTTTTTATGGGGTGCACTTAATATCAGGGCTGCAAGGAAACTCATTAGGTCTCCCCGTGACCTTTGCCAAGTGTTGCCTAAGCATTTAATGAATTGAAGTGAAAATTAATTTTTCTCGGTTTTGATGTCAATTACCTGGCACAGTTACACCTTCCATCTATATTACATATTTCCATTTGTTGTTCTTTAATTAAAGCCACCGTGATAAAGGTGGGAGTTTTAATTGATGTGGGGGCATTCTCATATTAATTTTAATTTAACCATGATATGAGGATATTTTTTCTCCCTAAATTAGTTTCCATTAAAGAATAGCCCAGAAGGAATCCTTAATTTCATTTTAAAGCCTAAATTTAACCTTCAGTAGTTTGTTTGTGTTCATTGCCACATTTTAAGTCTTTATAGAAGCAATGTCAGCTTAACCCAAAGACAAGGTGGTGGTTCTCGTGCCTTGGAGGGTTTTAAAAGATGACTGTAAGAAAATGCATCATTCTAGATGATGAACAAGCAATAACAAAGAAGATTAAGAACTAAGTTTAATTATCCTCTGGGCAAGAAAGAACAAGCTCATTTGATTTTGCCTAAAAAAGTGCAGTATGTTTGAGTTTCAGAAAACAACTAATCTAAGCTGCCTTTTCTGTAGAATGTTCTAGAAGTTCAGGATTTGGTAACCATTGCCAGTCTCTGTGGGCTTCCCAGGTGGCACTAGTGGTAAAGAAACCGTCTGCCAAGGCAGGAGACAAAAGAGACACAGGTTTATTTGAGCCCTGGGTCAGGAAGATCCCCCGGAGGAAGGCATGGCATTATTCTTGCCTGGAGAATCTTATGGACAGAGGAGCCTGGCAGACTATGGTCCATAGCATCGCAAAGCGTTGGACACAGCGGAAGCGACTGAGCACTCACACGCAGGCCGCTGTCTGCGCTGACTCTGGCCGCTGTCTCTGTCACACCTGCTGTGCTCCTCCGTGCTGGCCCAGCGTGGAGAGGCCGAGGTTCAAGGGACTGAGCCGTCAGCCACCTGGGCAGGCTGCCATTCCTGCCCGTGGCCGTCTGGGGAACCGCCCACCACCTCAAGTGATAGACAAGACGCCCTGGTTACAGAGCGGTGCTCTCTAAGGTGCACTGACGTGGCATTGATTCGGGGAGCTGGCACAGCATAGCCGCATCCAAGAGATGCTTTAGTTCTGCGATGTGTCCCGTGAGATCTGTCTGGTTCTTGTATAATTTGTTAAGACAGCCTGTCATCAGGACAGAATTCCTCTCCCTCCTTCCTTAGGGCCCCAGTGAGCAGCGGATAAACGCTGACGCTGGGAAGGCCCAGGAGAGCACACAGATCCGGCAGAGACCAGGGGCCGAGTCAGCAGACAGGTGGACAGCCGCAGTGTCCGGAGGAGTGAAGGGGCTCGGCGAATGCAGAAGGCAGAGGAGAGAGAAGGGGAGAAGGGGAGGAGACGGGGCTGGGGAGGGCGTCAGGGACGAGGCCACGCAGGGTCAGAGGCCACAACAAGGAGCTAGGGTTTTGTTCTGGCTGTGAAGGGAAGCCGGTGGGGGTGCTTACACCTATGAGAGATGTGATTTCAGCTGAGTTTTTAAGACCAGTCGTTGTGCTAGGTGGAGAGCAGACGCCCAGTGGCTGTGGGAGACCAGTTAGAGGCCTTCTGTTCCCACCTCACTGCCCTGGCCCCTTTGGGGCAGGCCTGATGCTGATAGCACTTGGCCTGACTCTAGCCTGCTCAACGTCCGGTAGGTTAGAGGCCTGATGCCGGGCTTCTCTGCTGAAGCTTAGATGATAAAGAACCCACGTGCCAACGCAGGAAATGTGGGTTCAATCCCTGGGTTGGGAAGATCCCCTGGAGGAAGAAATGGCAACCTACTCCAGTATTCTTGCCTGGAGCATCCCATGGACAGAGGAGCCTAATGATGGGCTACAGTTGATGGGGTTGCAAAGAACTGGATGCAATAGCACCACTGGGACTACAACTAGCCTCCCCGGGGACTAGTGTGCTTCTGAAAGCACGTCCTGATCAGTCACTTCCCTGTAGTAACACTTAGGTGAAACTGACACAGCATTCATTGTAAACCAGCTGTGCTTCAGATGAACAAATAAGCAAAAGATTTTTGTCCAGCTCCAAATTTAGTTACTGCTTCTGATAAAATCTTAGATAGGTAGTCTTTGTATGACTTTCAGTTGTTTTTTTTTTAATTCTAGAGTTTTATATTCTCTTAATTAAAGCATGCAGGTACTTCCTGGAATATGTGTCAGATTTAATCAGTTAAATAAATAGTGACATTTCAAGGATGTGACCAGCTTTTTCATTTGTCCTTTACAGGGATATTCAAGTGGGGATTTATATACCTGGCTTTACTTCTGATGTGAAGGAGACTGAGCATCTGGCCCTCAGCCTTAGTGTTTTAGGACAAAAGAGATTGAGAAAAGCAACCATTGTGCTTCAGTTATTTTTCGCTTTCTAAATTATTTGTTATTTTCAAATAAAAATGTGAAGAAATGATTTAAGCCACTTTATCCACTTGGCCAAAGGAATGGTATTACTCATCTTGGCTCTCTGTCACCTAAAATATTAAATGTGTATTAGATTCTCTGCAAATTCTGATTCAATAAATGAAAAGAAATGCATTTTTTAAAAATCTCTGCTCTGAAAAGCATATTGACCTGCTGCTATTCTGTTTACTAGTAAAGGAAGCTTGGATTGAAAGCAAAGACTGGAGGCGGACGCCTCTCGTAGGCTTGGGGCGTTCAGACGGAAGACGGTGCGCGCTTTCTGACCTGTGTCTGTGCTTCCAGGTGGTTTGAAGTGTCCCGTGTGCAGCTTCGTCTACGGCACCAAATGGGAGTTCAACAGGCACCTGAAGAACAAGCACGGCCTGAAGTTGGTGGAGAGCGAAGGGGACCCCAAGTGGGAGGTACATTTGAAAGCTTGGTCTTGATCGTGACTTTGCTCAGCATAGACAACCAACCAGGCAAACCCAGTGCCGTTCCTCGGAGCAGTGGGTTTTCTGGTGGGAAACTGGGACATCTTTTCGAACCCTGTCTCCCATCTGATGGGGGTATACTGGGTGAGGTCCGGGCCATGCGTGTGACTTCTTACGCTGAGTTGTGTTTAGACTGGTTTGTGAATGAATGTCTGCATCGGGCTCATTGATATTTTTACTTCTGTTATCTTGAATCCACAGTTTCAGAAACTGCATCTGAAAGAAAAATGCACGACAGGGTATATATTGTTGGTCCCCACCCAGAGAGCAGAGAAGGGCCCCGCTTGCTGATTTTAGGTCCTTGTCTCCCTCAGCTGAAGGTTCCTCCCTGTCACCTTTGTTTTCCAATCAGATGTTGGAACCAGCTCCTGGCTGAATTCTGTAAAAGCCAGTAGCTGTGTTTTGTAAGCCAGTAGCTGTTTCTCTTTTCAGGTACCAGGGGTCACTACCAAATTAAAGTTTACCTGAGATGGAGTTTCTTAAACTCAGTGCTACTGAAATTATGATCTGGACAATTCTTTGTTGTAGAGGGCTACACTTCGCGTTTTAGAATGTTTAGTAGCATCATTGACCTCTGCCCGCGAGGATCCATTAGCACAGCCATTTGTGAAAACCAGAGAGAAAGCACAGACACGGCCAGTGTTCCCCAGGAGTCAAAATGACCCTCAGCTGAGAACCACTTCCTGAGACATTTCTGTCTTATCAGAGTATCCAGTGGGTTTATTCCAGTTAAGAGTAAGGGCTCAGAAACAAATCCAACAACCGTGTGGGGGTTATTCCAGAAAGCAAGGGAAGGGTTGTCCAGGGGGAGGGAATGTGTTAATCTGTTAACATAACCCATCATGGTATCAGAACTAGGGAGAAAACTGAAATGATCATCTTCATAGATGCAGAAAAGGCATTTGACAAAATTCCACATCCAGTGATTAAAAACAGTCAATAAAGCAGAATTTGATGCGTCCATCTTTAAGACAAAAAACATATGCTCAAAAGCCAGCATCTTAAGTTTCTCATTAGATTTGGGAACAAGATGAGGATGCCCTAGGGGGTCTGGTCTTTTAACATCATGGGAGGCCTCAGCTGGTATGTTGGACAAGGTAGGGGAAATAGAGGCGTATGAATCAGAAAAGAAGAAATATCTCTGTAGATACAGGATTATGTTTTTGAAAATCTAACAATGAATGAAAATCTGCTACACATGATGAGCAGCAGATTAAAACATCAATATACAATAATCAATGGCTTTTATAGAGAGAGAACCTAGAACAAAAGAACAAGAGATTTAAATGTGAAAACAGAGATATTTTACAAATACCAGAAGAAAACATAAGTGAATTTATTTGTAACTTGAGAGTGTGGAGAACTTTCTTAACTATAACTCAAAATCCAGATTCAATTAGGAAAAAGATTGAAAACAACTTAACCACATGAAAAATATTTTTAAAATTGTATGTAAAAGAACTCATAGAGGGACAAATGACAAAAAAACTATTTTCAGTCGTATCATAGAAAAAAGGTGAATATCTTAATGTTGTAAAAGGCTTCTTCTAGAAATACTGATGAAAAAGATCAACAGCCTAATATGCAAGAGATAAGAAAGGTTTGAAGAAAAAGAGATGCAAATGACCTTGACTCTCTGAAAGCGTGATCAGCCTCACATGTAATAAATGTAATTAAAACTAGACAGAGACAGAATTTCTTACCTATTCGACTGGCAAGAATCCACAAGTTAGACATCATCTCTGCTGGAGAGGCTGAGTAAATAGGCATTCTCATACATTGCTGGTGGGAGTGCAAAACAGTGTGACCTTTATGAAGGGGAATCTAGCAATATCTACTGAAATTACATATGCGCTTCTTTTTCCATTAACTAAACAATCCCACCGTTAGAAAACTGTCCCAAGGCTATACTCACAAAAATGAGGGAAGGTGTCTACACAAGGCTGTTTATTACAACTCTATTAATGTAGTAGGTGAAGATTGTGTGTGTGTGTGTGTGTGTGTGTACACCAATAGATTGATGCAGAAATAATTCCAGATATATGTGTGTACATGGTTAGTATACATGCATGTATTTCTTAGCTTCTTGTGCTTAGAGGGCCTAGAAACAGTGACCCCAACTGGCAATGAGTGTGCCTAGTCTCCAGGTCTTGGTTTCTAACAGGATTCTCCAAGAAGAGGACCAGGGTCCCTTGGAAAAAGTGGTTGGCTTCAGGGCAGAGGCAGAAATTACGTAAGGTGATCCTGGAGCATTTTGTAGTTTTAGAAAGTAACAACCATGTGCTCCGCAGAAGTAAAACAGAAACGTGTCAAAATGACACAGGAGACAACCCAGAGAGTTCCTAGCCTTTCCCTTCTCAAGGGGATCTTCCCAACCCAGGGATCAAACCCAGGTCTCCCGCATTGCAGGTGGATTCTTTACCAGCTGAGCCACTAGTAAAGCCCAAGAATCCTGAGGTGGGTATCCTATCTGTTCTCCAGCAGGTCTTCCTGACCCAGGAATCGAACCAGGGTCTCCTGCGTTGCAGGCAGATTCTTTACCAGCTGAGCTACCAGGGAAGCCCCTAGAGAATTCCTAACGGCTCCAAAGTGGAACAGTTTGAGTAACAAAGTAAATCATGATAGTATTGGACTGAAAAATCACTCGAAACATAGGATGAAACTGGAGCCCATTATACAGAGCGAAGTAAGCCAGAAAGATAAAGACCATTACAGTATACTAACACATATATATGGAATTTAGAAAGATGGTAACGACAACCCTATATGCAAAACAGAAAAAGAGACTCCGATGTATAGAACAGACTTGTAGACTCTGGGAGAAGGCGAGGGTGGGATGTTTTAAGAGAACAGCATCGAAACACGTATATTATCTAGGGTGAAACAGATCACCAGCCCAGGTTGGGTGCATGAGACAAGTGCTCGGGCCTGGTGCACTGGGAAGACCCAGAGGGATTGGGTGGAGAGGGAGGTGGGAGGGGGGACCGGGATGGGGAATACATGTAAATCCATGGCTAATTCATTTCAGTGTATGACAAAAACCACTGCAATGATGTAAAGTAATTAGCCTCCAACTAATAAAAATAAATGAAAAAAAAAAAAAAACATAGGGTAAATATCTCTGCATCCATACTGATAAATGATTGAATAAATAGTGAAGAAGGAACAACTCTTACCTGCAGAAGAATTCCGATTAATCTAGAAAGAATGAGGGAAATAGAAAATTACCATTCAAACACCACAGTAATACTTACAGTAGCCAAGATCTATTGATGAATGCCAGAATTAGTCAACAGAAGTTTTGAGGAGAAATAGAGTATTGATATAACCTCAAAATATCTCCCCCTAAATAATTATGAATTATAAAGGTAAAAGTAGTAACATCACAGTTCAGACACCTGGCTGACACCACCAGCCACACGACCGAGGTGAGAATTCTCGGTAGTAGGACAGAGTGACATCATGTACCCCACGATGTGATGTGATCAGAAAGTCCGTCACCTCATGGTGCTCTTCCAACAGTCCTCGGCCCCTACCTAATCACAAGAAACCATCAGATGTATCCAAACAGTGCAATGATGTTGACGGTCAGATACCTGACCAGCTCTTCTCAGAAGTGTCTGGAGGACTGTTGGAAGTTGGAGGAGACTCTGGAGACAGGAGCACTCCATGCACGGTGGAATCGTGTATTAAATCCTGGAACAGTAGAAGGACCCCAGTGGAATCTGGTCAGAGCTTGTAGTTTGGTTATTGGTACTGATCCACTGTTCATTTCTTGGCTTTAATCATTGTACTGTGGTTACGTCAGATGTCAACAGGAGGGGAAGGGTGTGTGGGAACCCTGTGTTATATCTGGGATTCTTTTCTAAATGCGAAATTATTTCAAAATCAAATAGTTATGAAAAGGGGGAGGGGATCAAAGGGAGAAAAGGCAGGGACATAATGAGAGGGAGGGGTTAGAAGAGAACCTAAACTTGTCTTAGCAGACCCACTGTGCAGATTCGACTCTGGTTTTATATAACAATAAAAACAAAATCGAACTTTAAAAAAGCAAGCCCTGAAAAGTGAGAGTAGAATGAAATCAAGGATCTAAACCGTATGTCAAAGCAATGGCAGAACTACGTAGAGAAGGACTATTTTAAGAGATTTTAAGATAGAAATTGGATTGTTCCTCCCCAGTGGAATAGAACCTAAGGGTGAAAGGAACTGGCAAAAAAACATACTGCTCTCCAGTTATTCCACCAGCAGTGGTTGATAGTATTACTCTAAGGCTGTTGTTAGTATTTGCAGACTGGAGTGAAGCACATCAAATGTGTTTAAATCCATGAGTTTATAATAATCCTGGGAGAAAACTCTTTAGTTTCCTTTGCAGAGTAATAGTGAATCAACTCTATTTTGATAAATAAAATCCTTATTTTGGTAAGGCTCAGAGTCGAACAATTACTCTACCTCATCTAAACAAACCATATCTCAGAATAACTGAATGTTGGGGAGAGAGATTTCTTTGTGTGGAAGTATTCCAGCCAGCCAGTGAAGATTTACATATTTACATGACCTCTGTTTTACAACCCCCCACTGGCATCACGGGTCTAGCGATGACCATCAGCCTTCTGCCAACACAGCAGATGCTCAGAGACGCTCAGTCACGGAGTGTCTCCTGATGGAAGCACACAGTTTACCGTGGAGTCCTGCTGCCATAGAGGGAACTGGCCGCCTGATTAAGCTTCCGCGTCTGACTGTCAGCGTATGGGAAATACAGTGTGGACGGGGAACACACTCTGAGTCCCTGGTGGTGCAGACGGCAGAGACCAGGCTGTGGGAAACTGACGGCAAGTGACCACTTCTCACAGTGAAACGATAAGCAGAGGAGAAAGTCAGAGTGGAAGGAGAGCCTATAAACGCCAGTCTCATGAGACTTTTATCAGACGGTTCTAATATGTGGATTTCAGTACCTTAAGTATGACTTGTAGGATTAGGTTGTGAAAAAATGAATCGGGGAAATTAGAACACCACTGAGGTATGTGAAGGCATTCAGGAATCACTGTTAAGGGTTCTGAGTGTGACGGTGGTGTCGTAGTTCTGGTTTGAAAGAGTTTTATCTTTTAGAGGTGCCTTCTGAAATATTTAAATTGATATGACATCTGCATTTGCTTCAAAATCAAAGGGCAGTTGTGTGGACTGTGGTGGGGGCATCACCAAAACAGGGCTGGCCATGAGGTGATGACTGTTGAAGTGGTGATGTGAGCATGGAGGTTCGCTTCTCCGTCTTGTGTATGTTTGACACTTTCTCTAAGAAAATTTAAGGAATGTGGACTTCGACAGACTTCCTTGCAATTTCCTGGCTCTTCCTGTAAACAGTTTGACCTTGATCCATTGTTTATCGAACCTCTGTGACCGCTGTGTTCTGATGTCTACAGTGAGACTCCTGCCACCCAAGAGGTCAAAAGGATTGGGAGACAGAATGTATGAAATGCCAGGGTTACTGTCTAGTCCCCGGCAGGTCTGAGGTAAACAGCCGCCGCAGTTGGGGGTGGCGGCGACAGTGTCGGCAACATCACCATCGCATGCCCATCTACGGAAACCCTCAGTCCTCCGGTGCTTCGAGTCCACACTTGCGGGGCTTTGCTGTCTGTTAAGAGATAGACACGTAATGCCAGTTCCTGATGTAAGCAGCATCTCTTCTGGCCAGCTGGTGCTTCTGTTCATGCAGTCATGCCCCTCTCCTCTGAAGACCTGGCTTCTTACAGATCTCGACACCTTCAGCAGAGCTGTGACTCTACAAATACAGTTGACAAAAAGTCACACACTAGACTCCAGAAGTGCGACAGTTGAGCAGCCAAGAAGCTGGCCAGGGGTGGCTCCCGAGTGATGACAGGCTGCTTATTCTAGCAGTCAGGCTGTCGCCAGGCTCCCTGGAGTGCCTGTAAAGCATCGCCTTCCCACAGATGGTTATTACAGATAGTACCCCAAACCAGGGGAGTCGTACCACGCCCTTCCTGTTCATCACAGGCTGAGATCCAGTCCACGTTGGCCAAAATGTTCCCTAACGGTACTTATAAGGAACCATGCTTTCTTTTTGTTCCTTTATGCATTCATCAGATACTCATTGGGTGTCTACTAAACGTCAGGCTGGAAATGAACTAAATGAACTTGACCACTTGGCTGTAAAAGAATAATCACATTCTATTCTGAGCCTTTGTGAATAGCTGATAAGTGCTTACAGAGTGTGATATATTTATAGGAGTGGCTCCTATAAATTGTGTGTAAAATCTTCTTTTCGTTCTTCCTTTTTGGTGACATTCATGCTTGCCTGCCTTCCAGTGCCAGGAAGAGGTGATTATGAATATCTAGTTCTTGTGAAATGTCCACCTGTCCTCTCCTTATTGGTGTGAGATTTCTGTAAATGTCCCTTTAGCATCTCCTTCTCGCGTGGGGTCCTGATTCTGCACAGGTGTATCTTCTCTGGTCAGTTGCATTTGTCATATCCATCCTGTAAAAATAAAACGAGCCACAGGCTGCACGAGTAGCTGAGATCTGCTGAGGTCTTGCTGTGTGCCAGGACCCGTGCTCTAAACAGGCCAGATGTTGTGTGGTGACAGGTCCTCTCCTCCTGTCCATGGCCAGCATGGCCGTGCGTCCCTCGTGACCTCATGGCAGGGGGCCCCAGGCACAGGGGATCAGAGCAGTGTTGGTGGCAGTGGGAGGAGCAGAGCACACAGGAGAGTCTCTGTGTGCGCGTCTTATCTCTCATTGTGAACAACATCCTCTGTTCCCTGTGGTAAGAACGTGTTGCGGGAAGTGTTCCTCCGAAGCTGGTTTTTAAAGTCTCGGCATGTGGCACAGAGAAGTTTCCTCTTTGGGAAATGGGTTTTTATCGGAGCACTGGTTTCTCAGGGGTGCAGGCAAATGAGCTGCTGCAGACACATTGCTGGTGTGTGTTTGTTTTGTCTGAATCCGTTATTCTGGGGCTTCTGGGGACCTTCTAGGGGATCTTCTAGGTGGTCCCATCGATGATTTTGTGTTTTCATTTAGCCAGCAACAGAAACTCCCGAGGAGCCCTCCACCCAATACCTGCACATCGCAGAAGCCGAAGAGGACGTTCAGGGCACACAGGCAGCCGTGGCCGCCCTCCAGGACCTGAGATACACCTCGGAGAGCGGTGAGAGTGCCCCCCGCCTCCCGACACCTTAGAGCTGGTCTTTGACAGGCTGAATGAATGAATGAACTTGTGAACGAGTGATGTTCGTCAGTTGCTCTCCTTCAGCTGCATTGTGCCCTCAGGAGCGGTCTAGTTGTCAGGCTTGGAGGTAGAGATCTCTTGCAGAGTGTTCTAGAACAGAGCTGCAGGTGAAGTAGTGCCGCCAAATGGTGTTGCCGGATGTCCATGTGTATCGTCACGTCTCTCCCTTCCACGTGCTAACCAGGCACAACCCTGCTTACCTTCTGAGAGCAGACGAGATTGGGCGCGTTCATGGTGGTATGGCCGTAGACTCATCATGGCTCTGAGCAGCGTGTGGGAAGACAGGTCTTATACTCCTCACTTCACAAGAGTTACTTCCTCCTTGTAAATGGTTGGCTGAGGGTCACCCACTACTTGGGTGTTGGAGCTGGTCTTGGAATCTAGGTCTCCTAACTTCTTGTTGGAGCACCATCCCTGCCTCAGGCTCCCTCGGAGTCATCTGTTCCGGGGGGCTTGTTCCAGGGTCTGCAGGAGGCAGATAGGGGGCGTGGCTGAGACCGAGGGCCAGTCTGCCGGCCTTCCTAATGGCCCCTTACAGATCTGTGGGCTCAGGACTGTCTTTTGCCCAGTTCTTCCGAAAAGCCCCAAATCAGGATCTTCATGTCAGATGTCATCATTGTCCAATGTTAGGTCAATTTAAAAAACAAACCACTGTGCCAGCCTACTGGCAATTGGGGCATTGGGCTGAGAACACTTTTTCTTAATGCTCTTTAAAAAACAGGAACAGAAGACAAGTTAATATAAGGTGCTGCAGCGCTCTGTGTATGGGGGGAGCAGAGGTCAGGCAGGCGGGATTAGAGGAAGCACGCGGTGAAGTCAGATGGTGACAGGAGATAGGAGCTCACCCTTTCACTGAGCTCTTATTCCCTCAGCCCCAGGTGGTAAGAAGGGTGCACAGAACAGTCCTGTGGGCCGCTGTCTTTGGAGAAGACCCAAGGCCGGTGCTGTGCTCACTGCCCGATGCGCTGGGATGACTCGGGAGGCACCCGCAGCCTGTGAGAGCGGCAGGCCCTGCGGACAGGGTGTCCAGGTCCCCCTTGTCAACGCGGTGCCCAGAGCTGACGCCGCGTCTGCTCGCGTTTCCTTCCCTCACATGCAGTGACTTCAGCGCGTGCTCACGCCCGGCCAGGCCAGCCGGGGCCCCCACTCACACACACTCCCTCGCTCCCACGCTCCCTCTCTCCTTTGACAGGTTCTTCATGTGTCCTCCTGGCTGTTAGGAAACAACGCAGGCGCTGCAGCTGGGCCTCCGCTCTGGGTCCTGGCTTGCCTGCACCGTGTCTCTGGCCACCTCGGAGCTGTGCCCGCCTGGGCCAGACTCTGCACGTCTGAGCACGAACAGTCTGCTCCTCTCCCGCCCAGCACTTTTCCTAGCAACGGCATCTTCATCCTCAGGGTTCAGGCTCTGTGTCACCTCCCGGGAGCCCACCTGACTGTCCTGCAGAGCTCCCAGTCGCCCCCCTGATATGGAACTGACCAGGGGCTGGAAACAGTGGCTTACCATCTGTCTCAGTCACCTGTGAGCCCCGGAAGGAGAAGCAGGCAGGCAGCATTAGGTCTTTGTATTCCCACTGGGAACCGTGTTCCTGGCTGACACTTGGGGCTTGATAAATGGTCATTAACAAAGGAAACAGATGAAGAATTAGAATCTTACTTCCGTGCATTTTTTTAAGGGTCAGTGTTTTGTTTAGTGTTTGGCTGTTTAGGGTGGTTGGCTGCAAGGCATGCCCCCCGCCCCCGGCCCCTCCAGGAGTGTGTGTGTGTTTGTGTGTGAGGTGTGTGCAGGGGATGCTAGGCCTGTGCCTGGTGAGCAGATGCCATGTCATTGCTTCAGTCATATGCCATGTCCTACCCTCTGTGTAGAACATAGTGAATGCCCTTCTCTCATCTCTTAATGATTCACGTTGGAACAAGGCCCACAGAAAGCTGTCCAGGAGGGTGTAGACATTGGAGGAGACTTCGTACTATTATGCTAACCTGGAGACCAGGCAGTAATTTCCCTCCTGGTGAATTAACGATCGGGGTCAGAGTGGCGTGTTCAGGAGAGTCGCAGATGGCCAAGCATATGGCAAGAGCAGGCAGGGTGCCCTCAGTAAGTAGCTGTCCTGATGATGTCGATTCCAGGCTTCTGAGATGAGTAAAAGAGAACCTTGAGCTTCCGTTGGTTTAGAAGTCTGACGGACCACCAACTTGATGACTGGGACGTCCTCGCGTGTCCTGCCCGTATCCTGTGTAACTGGCTCACGCTCACTGGCCGCCTGCCACCATGCTGAAGGGAAACCAGCTCTGCAGTGTGCTTCCCAGGAGTTCCGTTCTGAGAGGCAGCCCTGTGTCCACAAGTTTGGATTCAGGACATCCAGCCTTGAGCACTAGCCTTGTGATGTAGCCGATTCGATGGCCCAAGGCAGGTCTCTTCGATTTTTTGCAGTGAAGCAACTAATCTATAAAGTGGAGATATACCATCACACTGTCATCTCCTCACAGGTTGTGTGGAGTTTGGAGATGTTCTTACAGGGAGTGTGTTGTGAGCTGTGACGTACCACACACTTTGTTTCTGTGGTCACAATGTGCGCTTACTGAGAACGTGTGCATCCTTGGAGAAGGCACCACCCAACCGTGGCCTCTAGGAAGGGCTGCTTCTGTGTTCAGTGACCTTCACCGCCCTTGGACGTAACTGTCTCCTGTTTGCTTCTTCCCGCTCAGGTGACCGACTTGACCCCACGGCCGTCAACATCCTCCAGCAGATCATCGAGCTGGGCACCGAGACCCACGATGCCGCTGCTGTTGCCTCGGTGGTCGCCATGGCACCGGGCACCGTGACGGTCGTGAAGCAGGTAGGACCCGCCCCTTGCCCTTAAATACGTCTCCTCACACTGCCACACAGCCTCTGCCCCCTGCCCCCTTTGGTTTTCAGGGCTTTGACCTTCCCGAGGGGGAATTTGGAGTGAAATTGATCTAGTCTCATACATTCTCTTATTCTTTTTTTTTTTTAAGTTATTTATTCATTCATTTTTGGCTGTGCTGGCTCTTCATTGCTGTGGCTGGGCTTTCTCTAGTTGCAGCGAACGGGGGCTGCTCTCTAGTTTTGGTGTGAGGGCTTCTCACTGTGGCGATTCTCTTGTTGCGGAGCACAGGCTCTGGAGCACGCAGGCTCAGTCGTTGCAACTCACGGGCTTAGTTGCCCCGCGGCACCTGGGATCTTCCTGGACCAGGGGTTGAACCCGTGTCCCCTGCACTGGCAGGCTGATCCTGAACCCCTGGACCACTAGGGAGGTCCCATTCTCTTCCTCTTATTATGGGGTTGATTGTATCTGCAAGAGCTCCATATGTCCGGGCCATGATGCCGAGGAAGGTGCGTCACCCCTTCCAGAATGAAGTGCCGGAAACTTCATTCCTTTCCTTTCAATGAAAGGAATCCCCAAGTGAAACGAGCATGGTGTGGACGGGTCTGGACACATCTGTGGTCAAAAGCAGCCTCAGTGCCTAAGGCACGAGTCAGTGGGGCATGGGGGCCGTGGGGACCGCCAGAGGAGCCGGGAGGGCTTCCAGGGGCCTGGCCTTTTAAATACTAAACATCACTTGATGGAATCAGCACAGAGGATGGCTGAACTGAACCGATGGGCAGAGGACGGCCACTCTGTGAGTAAAAGTTACTCCACTTATTGATAGTTGTTATATTGTCTGGCTCATTTCCTCTGCTCCTAACCTCAGAGGAGGCTTCACCATCTGTTAGGGTGCGGTGTGCATGATCAAGTCATGATCAAGTCATCCTGTTTGTCTGTCTGTACCTCTCTCTCTACTACCTCCAGCTTCACCGTACAGGACTTATAAGCTGGCTTACACAAATGCTTACAAAAACCAACACAGCAAGCACATCAGAAAAAGGGCCGACCCAGGGTGTGCTGTTTAGAATCAAAGTTCAAGTTCGTGGAGAAAGTTGAATGGCAGACGGTAGCATTTTACACGGTTATCCATTGTTTCAGCGATTCACGCAGGAAGTATTAGTAAGTGGCTGCAGTGTTCTCATTGCTGGCTCTCCAGGAGAGAAGCGACGTCTGCCATCAAAGTGGTTATTCTGGTGGGAAAAAGATAAATAAGACAGAGAGGTTGTCAAATGGTGAACAAGGGCAGTGGAGAAAAGAAAAATCAGAAATGGGGAGGGACAGGGGCTGAGGAAGTGGGGGCTGAGGGCTGTTTCATAAAGGGCTGCTGGGGCAGGGCGCTGATGTTTGCCCTGAGACCCGGGAGAGGTGGGCTTCACTAGAATGATCCAAGTTCTGCTGTACCTGTGGTGCCAAGTTTGATGATAACAAGAAGGAAGCGTAAAACAGGTAACAGCAGAAGGGTAAGGTTTTCTTGGCAAATAACAAATAATTTCTGAATGCAGCTGTCCTCTCCCTGCGCGATGTGTTGTGACTTGCCTCCGATGACTCGGTGGGCTTCCCAGGGCTGCCCCCTGACTGCCCCCTACCCCCACCCCAAGGTGCGTCCAGGGCCAGGCCACAGTGCAGGCAGGGAGTTCAGGCTAGGGAGCTCCCAGCGGAATTAGTGCATGCGGGTTCAGCTCTGGATTTCCGGCTCCTCAGACAAGACTTAGTGCATCTAGATGATCGTTTGGATACTCCACCTGTTTGTACTCCTCCGTTAGGATGCTGTCTCTCAGTGAGACCCTGGGCAGAGGTCAGACGGGACAGCAGGAGTTGTTGTTTCGGGCTGCAGGGGCCGCATGTTCTGCATTGTTGGGAGCTGATTCATAACGACTCTGGGCCAAACGCTCTCTCAGCTTTTCTTTGTATTTGTTAGATTGCAGTCCTCAGTATGTCTCGTAATCTCTTCTGAAAATCCTTGTCTGTATCGTGGCTTGTGGAAGTCCCTAGCTAGACCCGGCCACTTCGGGAAGGGCATCAGGGGACCTTTGGCTGTTGCGGGCATGCCAGATCCTTTGCAGAACTTCAGGGAGGCGCCACCGCTGTGACTCAAGACTTCCTTCTAGGAACAGGATGGATTTGCTGCTCCCTGGAGACATGATTTATTGCACGTTGCAGGCGGAGCGGTGATACTCGAGGTTGCGGGTGGAGGAGATGGCTTAGCTGTGTTCCGAGGCGTTAGGGTGATAGCGTGACGAGGGATAAGGCAGATAAGCCTCCGGTGCAGCCCTGTAAAAAGGGATAATGTGTTCGCAGTGGTGGAAAACAGGGGCACCCTTCAGTCTTCGGTTTATTCAAACCGCAGGACTCAGAGGGGTGTCACCGTTTAATGCGGACTTGAGTCACTGCACTTGGAAATGTTCCCTGAGGCTGTGAGTCCTGTCTGCCTGGCTGACCTGGTGCATCAGGGGTTAACTGGGGGCGTCCCTGGTGGCTCAGATGGTAAAGAATCTGCCTGTAATGCAGGAGACCTGGGTTCGATCCCTGGGTTGGGAAGATCCCCTGGAGAAGGGAATGGCTACCCACTCCAGTATTCTGGCCTGGAGAATTCCGTAGACAGAGGAGCCTGGTGGAGATGTGAGTCATGTTTGCCTGGCTGGCACCTGGAGCTCTGAGACTGTTGATAAATGATGGATGGGAAAATGGGTGGATGGACAGATGGGCAGGGAGGCCTCAGATGTCCCCTGCAATGCCTATGGGATTGCACTGTGTCAGGCTCCCCTAGCTAAAGGAATGACCTCTCTATTCAGTTGTCTTATTTAAGCTTAAATATAGCTGTTTTTTTAAAATTTATTTATTTGGCCATGCCAGTTCCTTATTTGCATTAACACAGGCTCTTTAGTTGCAGCTTGCAGGCAGGATCTAGTTTCTTGACCAGAGATCAAACCCGGGTCCCTTGCTTTGGGTGTGTGGTGTCTTAGCCATTGGACCACTAGGGATGTCCCAATATAGCTGTTTTTATTACAGAAATCAGTTTCTTTTCTTTTTTTTTTTTCTTTTAACTAAATTCTGGTTTAGGATTTTCCAGTAGAGAAATCATATCTGTTTACCAAGTGTGCATAAGGCCCCTCAGTTGTGGACTCTGGGGCACCTGCTGGGAATCAGTGATGTTCCCTTCACCCTGGATTTAGGATTGACTGGTTTGATCTCCTTGCTGTCTAAGGTACTCTCAACAATGGTCCATGTAGTCAAAGCTTTGCTTTTCCCAGAGTCATGTACAGGTGTGAGAATTGGACCATAAAGAAGGCTGAGCACCAAAAAATTGATGCTTTCAAACTGTCAAGAGTCAAGAAGACTCTTGAGAGTACCTTGGATAGCAAGTCAATTCCAAGGGAAATCACCCCTGAATATTCATTGGAAGGACTGATGCTGAAGCTGAAGCTCTAATACTTTGGCCACCTGATGCGAAGAACTGAATCACTGGAAAAGCCCCTGATGCTGGGAAAGATTGAAGGCAGGAGGAGAAGGGGACGACAGAGGATGAAATGGTTGGATGGCATCACCGCCTCAACAGACATGAGTTTAAGCAAGCTCCAGGAGATAGTAAAGGACAGGGAAGCCTGGCATGCTGCAGTCCATGCGGTCACAGTATCTTATGGCCTCGTGATAATCCAGGGTCTTTCTGAGATAACTTGAGTGCTGTCTGCTGCAGAGGTTACCCCTACACACTAGGCGGCTGAGCTGGGCACCCCTTGGCCCAATTGAGGTACACACAATATTAACCTTCACACGTGTTCATGTGGTACATTTCAAAGTATGAGGGCCTCTTTGTCAGCAGAAAGTCTTTGCTAATCCAGGCTACTGTTTACTGAGATACTATGTTGTCGTAGAGACGATTTTGAGTCACAGACTTCAGTGTGAGGTGGCAGCCTTGGGAAGCACACACACCTTGGGACACCCTTGTTTCTAATCACAGGTGACATTTCCCCTCAAGGTTCAAGAATGAGAGCCACCTTGCAGGTCCTTGAAAGAGTCACGATTGAGGAGGGGCGGCCCTCAGGAGTCCCCACTTTCATCCGCAGGTCAAGAGCGAGCAGGTGGTCCTCCTTGTCCCTCCCCCGTGGAGCGAGGGGCTCAGTAGTGGCTGTGGTGAGCAGGCCCTCTCTGCTCTGTCCCTGCTCCTGCGTCTCTGCAGCGCTTCCTAGAATTGCCACTCTCCTGCTTCTGTTCCCTCCTCCGTGCTGGAGGCTCAGACCCGTTCCCCCCAGACGTGCCGGCCCTCACCCACGTCCCCGTGTAGACGCTCAGCCTGGCAGGCCTGGAATGATGCTGCCGCCATCCTGTTCAAACTCCCAGGTGTTCTTCCCACTTGCTTTTAGTGCTGATTAAAAATATAAACAAAAATCAAACCGCAAAGCAGAAGTTCCAGCTTTGTCAAAAGCGCCCCACCTCTCGAGGGCCCAGCAGGCAGCCCGAGAGGCAGTTTCCGTAGCCGCTCTTGCTGGAGGAGGCACGTTGGTTGGCAGCCAACCTGGAATTGCTGTCTGTTGCTTGTGGTTCGTTATCTCGGTGAGGAAATGCTGTCCACTCCTGTGGCCGTCCATGTACATTAGTCGCCTGTTTTCAGGGAAACTGGGGTCCAGCTTGTCCTGTTTTTCGTGTAAGGCCCTGAGTCACGTGGTCCCCGGAACCTCTTTCACTCTCTCATCTGGTGGGGAGAAGCCACTCTTCGGAGGGGCCTCCTTAAGTGCAGCCTCTGAGTGGGGGGGCCTTGCTGCTCTGCTCCATCCTTTAGGGGAGCCCAGGATGGGCCTCCTGACCTGCTGGGGGCAGATGTTGTGCATCCTCTTAAGATTTGTGGCAAAACGATGGGGGGAGGGACTTGGAAGGTGATTTGTGTGAGGGAACAAAAGCTATGTTAATTACCACTTAAAAACAGTCACTCCATTCCCTGAATTTGGTCTCTT